TTCCTTAGGAGGCCACCAAATGCCAGAGAAGGCAGAAACCTCAAGACTCCAAACACCAGAAAAGGAAACAGCCTCTATTGACTTTCGGTCTTAAATGGTTTTAAATAGTTTTAAAAACCACCTGGGACGAGAGTATGAGCCAAGCAAAGGAAGAATCAGTACAAAGAAACTTAAGCAGGAAGAAATCAATCCTGGTGATTTCAAGTCAGCCCTAGGCCAATCCATGGCTGAATTCCAATGAATTAAATTTAGGTGGAAAAAACCGTACCATTTCACGGGCCCTGTATCATGTTACCCTAGGCAGCGGGGTGCGGTGGAAGGGCAGGCCCCGGAGACCCAGTTCGCTGCTGAGCTCTGCTCTCTCTGCTCCATGACTTCAAATGGCTTAATGGCTCAGTGCATCTGCTTTTCTCACCATGACAGGGACGAGCAGTGCTGGAAGGATCAGAGGTCAGGTCCCTGTAAACCCCCAGCCCAGCTCCTGGCCACAGTGGGCCCCCCGTAACTGGTGGCCATGATGACTCCCACTCCTGCTTTACTCTCATCTCTTAAAGGAAGAAACAGAATTCATAGTCGATGGCCACAAACGGACCTCTCCCTGAAAACCACAAGCAGGTGAATCACCAGTAGCCGGGGAAGATTCTGCCAATGTGGGAAGAATGAAACGAACCACAACTGTATTCCACTGACATCTGAGGGAGCTACTGAGAAAGGATGTGGCACGGGTAGTCATTCTAAGGCCCTCCTGGTTGACCGGCAGTACCGGCCCTCTCTTTGCCCTTTGAGCTGGCTATTCTTAGGACTGTTCTTTGCATCGCAAAATTATGTTCCAAATCTCCCATTCTCATTCTACTTTGTCATTTCCCCAGCCATGGCTGGAACCATTTACTGTCCGCGCAAGTCAGGTGACCCGGGCAGTGCTCCAGGCTTGTGCCTAGGCCCCCACACCTAACCCGAATCTGCGGTGTCCCCCTCATCCCCACTGCGTAAAAGAAAATGCTGGGATTGTGTGGACTTCATGGGGAATATATGGAGATTAAAATTAGTGTGAGTGATCTTAAACACTCATGTGACAAACAGGAGCATTGAGAGAATTAAACAGGTGCTGAGGTATAATTTAGGCAGTGGCTAGGGGCTGAGGGAGGAACAGGTAGTAATTCATTCCTCATCAGGAAGCACAAAGGGAAATGGGGGATCTTAAAAAAACCTCAGCTCTCCTCCTCTCGGCCTTCCCCAGCGGCCCAAGGCAAACACACAATGCATAGGAATTCCCCCCAGGCTCCCCACGAAATAACTCGGTGTGTGTGTGTGGGGGGGTGGATGTAGCCTTTTAAAGTGGATTTCTTATCAAGAAACACTCCAGTGATTCACTGGTGTCAGACATTGTGTCCAAAGCCTTATCTGCCGCAGGCCCACACACCAGAGGGCAAAAAAAAGTAAGAAAATTTTACTAGAAACTCAAAGAACAAAATACAAATGAAAAATCTGGGCTTGAATCATGGGTTGAACACAATGAAAAAACAAGATTCTGGCTGCCAAACCTCTCCACCTGGCTTGCATAGTTAGCATCTGGGCCTGGTTTCAATAGCTTTGTAGCCCAGATGGCCAGCACGGCCATCCTAAGGGCTCTCTGCTCCAGGGAGAGACTGAATGAGAGAGAGAGAGAGAGCCTCTCCACTTGAACCTGAAGTCCCTAGTCCTCACATCATTTATAGATTGGCCAGCATAATTTTCAAGCCATGAATCCAAAGAAAATCATATTCTTTATGCCTCTACCCTCTTCTCTGATTCTTCCTACAGATGCCCAACCGAAAACCTAGAGTCTCATTGCCATACCCCAGACTGGGAATCACTAGGCGTAGTCCTGCCGGACGTGTGCACACCCGCCCAAACCCCAACAAGGACCCACTCCTCCCTCACACCCTCTCTTCAACCCCTTTCACCGCAAGGACCACGCCCACCCCACAGATGCAGCACAGCTGTGCCTTCTCGCCTACATCTCTCGCCCTCTTGGGTGCACAGGTGCCAACAGTTACATATGCCAGGTGGGAAGCTGAATGAAATCGCCACAGGCCGGGCAGTAAATGACTGGGTGGTCTGGAGAGAAGGGAGGAGCTCCTAGGGAAGGAAACAGGACACATGTGCAAGAAACATGGGGCAGTGGAGAGGTTAAGCAGGCAAGAGAAGATCCAGACAATTTCTCCCACGTGAGAAGTTCTGTGAAATGTCCTGATTTTTGTAAAGAAGCCAGTATTCGCTTTACTATTTTTGGTATGACAGGCTAAGGAAGGGCAAAAGTCTTGGTGGACCCAGGTTACTAGCACTACGCTCTAAGTAACTGAGCCACCCGGCCACTCTTGGTGGACCAAGAGTAAATAGTTAACACACGGCAGATGTGCCTCGGTAGCAGAGTCAGGAAGGCACTGAACTAAAACCAGGAGACATGGCCTGGTCCCGTGATGTCTCCAGCTCACTGGGCAACGGAGGGCTGTCTAGACCATGACTCCCTCACCCATCACACAAGGGGGACAGCGCAGGAGCTCTGAGTCCTGGTGCTACCCTTGGAGGATCCGGAAACCTCTGGAGCATTCATTCCAACCTCCACTTCGGGAGATGTACCATGTAATTTTCACTTTACAGAGGTACTATTAGTATTTCTACAAGATGCCAAGTGCCATCTTAGATGGCGATAGATGACAAAAGAGAGGTAAGTTAGTGGGCAGGGAACAACAGCTTTCCAAAAAAACAAAACCCACCAACCAAAGTGAAACACACATTCTCTTCCCTGTCCTCCCTACTCCCCAGACACAGTAATGATAAAAAATTGGGGGACAGAGTTTCAGGCAATGCAGTCCACTAGAAAGACAACTGGACTTAGAGCCAAGTGTGGATTGGCTAGTTAATATTTTCAAATTACTCATCCCAGGTCTGCTTGCTCATGGATGAACTGGGTATAAATGATGCTCACAATTACATGAAACACCACTGAGAGTAACTGCCTGCACAGAGTGTCTAGGAATCAGTTACAATCCCTTCTTTCCACACTAACCTAAATTTGAAAACCGTTCCGCAGACCCACCCTTGTGTGTATGTGCATCACACCATCACACGTACACACAAATATTCCATATACACAAACCCGGCCAAACGATGGTCACAGCTGGGACTGACAAAGCAGTGGAAGGGTCCCAGCTCTGCTGTGCTCTTCCATTTTGTCAACTTCATCTGTGGCTAGTGCAGGATTTTTCTTTTCTCCTTCCCCTCCCTACACTCTGCTGCCAGAGCTACTGCTGCTGAATCAGACCCTGTTAGTGTTCCCTTGCTGTTTCTTCTAGTTATCCTTCAACGTTTTCCGAGAATGAGTCTCACGCCTGCATCTATTTACCAGTAGGTGATGGGGTAGGGCCTAAGGAATATTATTAGTTACAAAGTATCTGTTTTTGTCTAGCAATAAGGATTACTTTGGTCAAGGGCACCTGGGTGGCTCAGATGGTTAAACGTCTGCCTTCGGCTCAGGTCATGATCCCAGGGTCCTGGGATCGAGTCCCGCATCAGGCTCCCGGCTCTGCAGGAGGCCTGCTTCTCCCTCTGTTCCCCCCCCCCCATGAATGAATAAATAAAATCTTTAAAAAAAAAAAAAAGGATTACTTTGGTCAAAAGAGTAATCTTTCAAATTATCAGTATCTGGGAGTCCCAATCACACCAGTCGACCAGCAGGTGTTTAAAAAAAAAAAACAGTAGAAAATACCAGTATGTACTATGTGTAGAAGGGGGTTAGTACTACCTCATGAAACTTCAGTTAAGTGTGAGTGCACTGACTGTGATATGAAATTAATCTCCAACAGTGGGTCACAGTCAAAAAAGTTTGAAAGCCACAGGGCCAAGGAACAGAAAGGAGTCAGAAAGGCCTAGTCCCTCCACCTGTTGGCACTATTTCTGAGTCTTGCTGGTTTATAATCCCTGGCCCTAGTTCAGTGACCCGGCCAGGAAACTGTGTCTTCTGCCCTCTGAAGATCCCAACCCTTCCCCTCCCACCCCATGGCAACCCATCCGGTTCTTCAGAACCCATCCTTGGAGGACCAGGAGGAAGCAGATCTTTTCTTCACTAAGAAGCACTCCACATTCCAGGACTCCGTTGGGGAGTTAGGGTGAGAAAGAAATACCTGGGTTTCCTAAAACCCCAGATCCTGGACTACCAGCCCTCCTTCCTTCAGTGCTGAGAGCAGATGTGCTGGGACTTGAGCCCCCTCACCGACCACCTGAGGCTTTCCGAGAGCGCGTATTTACTCACTTTTGAACCCCCATGAAGTCTCTTACCGTTCACTTGGACACTTCCTTCCTGGGTGGCTAAGCCCAAGATTATTTTAGATAACCCTTTAATTCTCCAAATAAACCAGAAAGAATCTAGTTGAGGAGGCTTCTCCTTTAATCTGTCTCCGGCTTAATCCCTCAGTCCCATCCCTTAATGCTCCCTGCACTAATTCGTCCAAACGATGCTGTCAGAGCAAGTGAACTTGGCCGCTTGGAAAGTTACCGTGCAGGGGGAGTGATGGGGAGCGAGGGCGGGGAAGCAGGGAACCTGGAAGCTCAATACAATCCGTCTCAGGAGTTCACCTGGGGGGCGTTTCTGCTCTTGAAGGGAAAAACCTTTCAGCCAAGCAAGAAAACAAAAGCCAGCGCGCCCGGGGCGGCAAACAGGATCCTCCGGCATTGGAGAAGTGCAAACAAGGCTGTGGGGAGGGGGGCGCGGAGCGCGGCTCGGCTGGGAGGCCTCGGGACGGGAAGAAGAGGGGTTCGGAGGGCGCAGGGAACAAAGCCCCGCGCCCAGACCTCGCGGGGGCACTCTGCTCGCTCCGAGGGAGCCCGGCGGCGGGGTGGGGGGGGTGCAGGTGTGTGGGTGCGGGTGCGCGCGCAGCGAGCCCCTCCCCCCGCCGCCCCCAAAACCCGGGGGTGGGCGACCCTCTCCCCGCCCCGCCTCCCCCCGCCGGAGCGGCTCTCACCCGAGCGGGGATCGAAGGTGACCACGAACACGGCCACCACCTGGTCCTCCTCCACGTCGCCCAGCTCCAGGCGCCCGGGCTGCAGCAGCACCTCGGAGGCGCCCAGCTCCTCGGGCTCCCGCCTCCTGGGCAGCTCCGCGGCCGGCCGGCCGCCCCCGCCGCTGCCCCAGCCCCGGCCTCCAGCCTGCAGCTCCGGGGCCTGCGGCGGAGAGACGGCGGGGCCCTGGGCCCAGCGCAGCAGCGGCGCCGAGTCTCCCCGCTCCACCATGGCGAGGCGAGGAGGAGCCGCGGGCGGCGAGGGGCGGGCGCAGGGGCGGGCTGCGGGAACTCCCCTCGCCGGGCCGGGCCGGGCCGCCGCACCGCCCGAGGCCGCACCTGCCCCGCGCCGCCCCGCCCGCCCGAGTCGGCGCTCCGAGGCAGCGGGAGAAGGCGTCCTCCCCTCTGGCTTCGCCGAACTGCGTGCCGGGTTTGGACTCACGGATGCCTGCGTGTGCCCGCGTCCGGGAAACGTCCGGTGGCATGGGCGCGCCTCCCCTACCTGGCTCCGTCCACCTGCGCTGGGCTGAGGGGCCTTCTCACCTAGGATCCCGTCGGATAGCTGTACCAGCGTGCATGTTTATACGCCATCATTATTTTTGTGATTCCCCTGGTTAGGTGGCCCGTGACAGAAATGTGTTACATAATCCTCAAAGCGTGGTTAAAGCTAGCGCGGGCCTGGGAAGTGAAGCAAAAGAGGCAGCCAGGCTGTTCTGATGTTATTTGGACTTTGGCCTGGCCTCCTGGAGCTGCGGACTTTGGTGTTTGGCCTGAAGTAGTTGTGTCTCTAATCCAGTCTGCTGTGCCCTTGAACGAGCTGGATAGTACCCTGCCCGGGGCTCCTCCATTTCGGCGACTAAGTCTCCACAGAGGGTGGTGGATGGTCCCTTACCTGCCCTTGCGGTAGGGAGCGGGGAGATTGAGCTAAATAGATAAACGATGAAAGCAGTCCCCCTTCTTTAGGCTAAATGCTGCCTAAATAGATTATTGTTATGTCATAGATTTTGGCCTGGAGGCAGCAGCAGCCCTGGGCCGTCACTGACAATCTCCTTGGGAAGATGGGTGAAATTGTATCATCATTGAATCTCTGGCACAAAGGGAACGAATCTTCATCAACACCCGCCCCCCGCAAGGGATACTCCGTGCATAAATCCACTGGGTCCTTCTGAGAGCAAGCAGACTGCTGGGCCTTCCTGAACCTTGGATAAATCTGGTGTCCGAACAAGTCTCTCTCCTGGCTTCATGCTTTCTTATATTAATGGCTATTCCTATTATTCCCACCTCCTCTGATTACTTAGCCACCAGATACACTCAAGGGTTGAGGCATTCAAAATAGTATTTCTAAATATAAAAATGGGGTTTCCTAGAAAAATCTTTAGTCAATTTCCAAAGCCATCAGTTTCAGGTCTGACTTGTCTTTCTACCCTGAGGGACTTCTTTTTCCTGATCTTTTGTATGAACTCCATCCCGAACCCCCTAATTGAATCCCTTCAAGTTGTGTATGTACCAAGAAATAAACTCATAGTCTCTATTCTATATATAGTCATCCTACATATATGTCCTATATATATAATTTGCTTTGTAAACATAAGACTCAAATGTCCCGGGGTGCCTGGGGGGCTCAGTCGGTTAAGCATCTGCCTTCCGCTCAGGTCATGATCCCAGCGTCCTGGGATTGAGCCCCACATCCTGCTCCCTGCTTGGGCGGGGGGAGCCTGCTTCTCCCTCTCTCTCTGTCTGCTCCTCCCCCTGCTTGTGCTCTTTCTCTCTGTGTCAAATAAATAAACTCTTAAAAAAAAAAGAAGACTCAAATGTCCCAACCTTAAACCTAGAGCCTTTCCCAGTCTTCGTTTTATGGGTTTTAGCTCACCAGCCACCATGTCTATCATCAGATTCCTAGAGCCTTGCACAACAGACATTTGTAAACTAAGCAGGTGAATAAAAGTAGAGACTCACCTCTGTACCACTGGCTACAGTATCTTGCACATAACAGGTGCTCAAAAATTTTAATGATGGTGATGATAGGCCTCTTAACACACATTCACAGTCTGAAAGAGGCTTTATACCTGACCATCAGATTTATATTCTCTGGATCTACTGAATTTCACAAAATGATAGGAAAGAAACGAAAATTAGCTATTAGAATAGCTCTGCTGGGAAAGGAGTGTGAAGGGCAAGAGGAAATGCAGGGCAGTCACATTCAGAGACCCTAGGATGGTGTTATATTTTAGAATGAGTTCCCCTAGAAGCCCATGTATCTAAATTTTAAAATAAAATTATGTTCCCAAATAGTGACTATATCTGCATTATATAAAACATACCTACGGGTGCCTGGATGGCTCAGTTGGTTAAACATCTGTCTTCGGCTCAGGTCATGATCCCAGGGATCAAGCCTGCTTCTCCCTCTCCCTCTGCCCTCCCCCCCACCCCGTGCTTGCTTGCTCTCTCAAATAAATAAAATCTTTAAAAAACATATCTACATTATATAAAAATATCTATAATATATAAAACTATACTGTATATAAAATACATTATAGAAAGTAATTTTGATCTCTAATCTCACCACTGAGTTGGCCACTGTTAGGATTTTGCTTATCCTGTTTCACCAATTCTAGGGTGCAGCTTTTCACTTGCTAACATCGCTATGGTGACTCCGAATTGCCGCCAGCCCCACTGAGGTCGAGTTCTCACAGAAGAGATTTGTGTTTGCTTTTGTCAGCCATCTGGAGGCACCACCAAACCGAGACTACTTTGAGTTAAATTCTCTGCTTGAGGTTCTTTGGGCCACGCTGGTAGTGGGAATTCAAAATGCAAGCTAGCGTAAACACTGGCTTATAGTTCAGATTCTTGGGCGAGATGTTTTCCTTCTCTCCGGCCAATGAAAACGTAGAGACGAGCGTGTTTCCCTGGCCAGCCCTCTCCGTGTCGGCCATTTATTTGCCACAGCTGCGTGTGGGCTACCGTGCTAGACTCCTCATCTGGGGCACTTAAAAAATTCTTAGTGGCATGTAAAAATAATGCTACATCTTAAAATAAGTGATATAATTAAAAGTTTTCTCTGTTTATGTTGACATCATACCATCTGTCAGTTTTGTATTCTTTTCTTCTATAGCATCTGACTGCAAACATTTTCCCATCCTATTAGGAACTTCATATATGCATCATTTTAATGGTTCCTATTGTATGTTCCCATTGTATGTATGTATGTATGTTTGAAAATTTACTTAACCATTCTCTCCTTGTTGAACGATCAAGCCCTTCCTCTTTTTGTTATGCCTAAAGTGTTGGCCAAATTTCACTCTAAACTAACACTACCTGTTATATGCCAAGCCCTGCACACAGTACTGGGGCAGCTGCGAAGAAGGCAGACATCCATTCTCATCAGGCTTAGAGCTTAGCAGGGAAGGCAGCTATCAGGCAAGGAATGAAATCTGGAAGGAGGGGGTGACAGGGCAGGTGTAATCGGCTATTCGGGTTGGTGATTTATGACAGAGTGCCAGAGGGGGCAATGCTGGGTTAAAACATATTCGTGTTTTTAAGGTTTTTGATAATCTTGCCAAATTGTTGATTCAGTGGTGTATAAGGACATCAATTTCGTTTCACTCTTGCCCCAGTTAGATATTGCCATTTAAAATTTTTTTTTTTTGCCAATTTGTTAGATGAACATGGCATTTTGTTTTTAAATTAATGTTTTGTGACTGAATCTAATCATGGTTTCAAAATCTATGTTGGTGATTTGTGGTTGTTCTTTCTGCTCCTGATGCCTTCTGCTTGCTTATCTGCTGGGGTCTTCATGCTCTTGTTTTCTATTTACATGAGTTCTTTATACAATAAGAATAGTTATCTTTTGCCTGGCATAATTTTTGTTAATCTTATTTCCAATTTTTTGTATGGTTTCAATGCTGCTTAATTGCTTTATGAAATTTAGAAGTTCGAAATCTTATGTTGTCAAACTTATCCATTCTTTTTGTGATTTCTTATGTCGATTTGACATTTAGAAAGTTGGCCCCTACCCAGAAATTGGATCAACATTCACTTTTATTCTTTTAGTTATTTATACGTTGGTTTTCCACATTTGATCTCCTAATCAATGTTTAATTGCTAATGTGATAATGAAGTGAGACTCTAAAATTTTTATTGACTTTAGTAACCAATAATTGCTATACCACTATGAATAATTCTTTCAATTCCTATGATTTATAATTCCCCTTTAAATTACAATATTGAATTCCTGATAATTTACTAATTTATGTATTCTTTACCATTGATGTGTCTATTCTTACAAGTTTTGTAAGCTTTTATTTCTAGGAGAGGTAGTCTTTTCTTTTTACTCTTTTAATAAGTAGATCTCCATGGCAAAATAATCAAATTACATGCAGGACATACAGTGAGCAGCAATTTCCTTCTCTTCCAAACCTCCTCCCCCATACCCCTCTCCCTCCTCAGGGATAGCCACTTTTGACAGTTTCTATCTTTAGGGTTTTTGGTGGTTACCCTCTGTGGAAGAGCTGTAATTCTTCCTTGTCACACTTCCCCCAAATCATTAAGCGTTTGCTTTGTTTCAGGAAGGTAAAACTTCAGCATGGGGATCTTGTACTTGGATCAGAAGCATGAAGAAATTGCTGGCAATGTTTGACCAAATTACTAGTGACTTCTTGAGCCCCAGCCCTGGGAGCAGAGAGATAGTGAGTCAAGATCTAGGCACAACAGATCCAGCTCTTTGCCATTCCTACGAATCTCTTCCCATGAGAGCGATGAGTGTGTGTGTGTGTGAGAGAGACAGAGAGAGACGGAGAGACACAGAGATCTCATCTCTGTGGCCGGGGATGGCCTTGGACCAGGTCATGTAGGCAACCCAATCTGCTCTAATTTTGGAGAATCTGGGAATGGCCAAGTGCCACATAAATTTTCCTAACTGTGGGTAATAGAGAACCGATCAGCAGACTAATGAGTCTAGACCGTATTTTCAAACTACCTGCTCCTTAAAATATGGGCAGTACATCAATGGTCTCTGAATTATTGGGATGTCACGTTAGCAATCTGTTCTTGTTCTAAGAAGAGTACCACGTCTTTGTGAGTGGACAAGGAGTATGTCTCTATTATAAAAGCTATTTTGACAGACATCCTCTAGTCTTAGCAAATGGGACATCTTGGCAAGAGAAGCAGTTTGTTAGAATCTCATTTATTCATCAGGTAGATTTATAGTAGATTTGAAGAGAATAGATGACTCTG